ATTTCTCTATAGTCTACATAGATGATATTCTCATCTTTTCCAGATCTGTAAAAGAACATTGAAAACACCTTAATGCACTCTTAGAGATAGTCGACACAATGATCTAGCCATCTCTTCTAGTAAAATTAAGTTGTTTCAAACTTCAATCAGATTCCTTGGATATAACATCCAACAGTCAACCATCGTTCCCATTAGCAGATCTATCTAATTTGCAAATAAATTCTCTGATGAGATTACAGATAAAACTCAATTACGGAGATTCTTAGGGTCTTTAAAGTATATTGCCGACTTCTATTAGGATCTTAGAAAAACAGTCAAGCCATTGTATGACCGACTCAAAGAAAATCCTCCTCCTTGGTCGTCAGTCCATACATTCATAGTTTAGCAAGTCAAAAAGTATATCAAGACTTTGTCTTGTCTTGATATTCCATCAGTAAATTCTTTCAAAATTATTCAGACAGATGCCTCCGATATTAGTTATGGTGGTATACTTCTTCAAAGAGTCACTCCAGACTCTCTAGAGAAAATTGTTCGTTTCCACTCGGGAATCTGAAACAAAGCACAAGCAAATTATAGTACTATTAAAAAAGATATTTTATTTATTGTCTTGTGTATTTTGAAATTCCATGATGATATATTAAACCAAAATTTTTTAGTAAGAGTTGATTGTAAATCAATAAAATATGTTTTGGAAAAAAATTTACAAAACATTGCTAGTAAGCAAATTTTTACTAGATAGCAATCTATTTTAAGTATTTTTAATTTTGACATCGAATATATTAAAGGCAGTAATAACTACATTCCTGATTTCCTAACCCGTGAAGTTCTGCAGGAACCTTATGACGGACAGGAAAAATAGTAAACTCGGTTCCTCTTCCAAACCCGGGAGGGATACTTGAAAACAACTAGCCTTACCTATCCCAAATCCAAAACCCAGTAAATTGCCCAGTCAAATACCCCTAATTGAAATAGAAAATCGTTATCAAGCCCTTAGTAATCCAGTTAGACCAACAACCAATACTCCCTAGTTAACCCAAGTACATTCCAGTACCAGGCCCAACAAGCTACCCCTAGTAGCCTAATAGCATCTATGCCCATTACAGCAGCTAAACCTAATCAACTAGTTAACCCATATAAATCTCAGCCCAATTACAAAGGTCCTCAAACGGATTATATTAATAAGCCCCCGACCTATAATATATTTCTCATTGAACCAGCTCATGCTCACCTTAGTAATCCAATTGACATAGTCAATGCTTATCTTGAGCCTAGATGGACCTTTATCCCACATGACCCTGAAAAAGCTTTTACGTTTTTTCAGATATCCTTTTTTTTCCCTAATCCATTTTCATTAAAGAAATTCCAGACAGTAAAGATCCTAGTAAAATTATTTATCATTCTTTATATATCCTAAAGCTCATCTCTCTCAAAACAGTGGAGATCTCACCCTTCTTTACTCCGAGATCTTCCTGGACATAGTAAAAAGTTTAGTTACTATGACTACAAGGAGTCATGGTTTAAACTTATCCCCTATCAAGATGAGTCTTACACTCATTCTTGGTTCATACAGTTTAGCAAGGATTTCAAAAGCCATCTTCCTGCCTGGTTTTCACAGTGGTGGCAGGTTCACGGTCCCATGCTTGAAATCCTACCACTTGATCTTCAGGATCAGGTGACCTACTTCTCTTCTATTTACAAACTTAGTAACACATGAGAGTCAATTTTCTAGTCTATTATTATTTATGAAAAAATACAAAGTCTCATGGATACAAAGTTCCAGCATAGTTTCGTTATTGCACAGGTACAACAGGAATATCCAGTCATGGTTACAGGAACAACCAGTAATGGTCCGGCAACCCTACCAAAACAGGTTATGGCAACCCTCAAAGTTTCAGTCCCAGATGAACCATCGGCAAAACTATCACCAGCAAAAGTAGAAAAAATCCACCTCCAAGGACTCCAGTAAGCAACTCAAGAAGAAATCATATGAACTCATTGAGTTAGTATAAAAGCTTCTTTAACAAATAGCTAGTCAAAACAGTTCACATGTATCATCCCAGTCATCATTCAGTCCCTCCATGGATCCCTTCCAAGATGTTTAGGATCCCTATGAAGGTTATGATGACTTAGATATCACTACTCCATGATTCTTATCTCTATGTGTGATAGCTTCACTCACTACTTTCTTCGAAAAGAAAAGTTGTCTGTTACATATTCCGATGGAATCATCCAGCAACAAGGCTCCTTTTCCTCAATAAAGTAGCCGACAATTAGCAATCAATCTGCTTTTCCACAAAAAGAATACTCCCAGTCAACATCAAGGACTCACCAGGCTCTTTAATCAGCATTCACTAGAGTAGAAACATTTCACTCTCACTTTTCCATCAAAAACAGAAGTGAAAGCATTTTACTAGAGTTAAAGCAGCAATAACTGTCAAAAGAGAAATCATTGCAAAGATTCTCTCAGAAATCGTTACTCCTATATATGGGTTTTATTCTTTCCTAACAAACTAAGTCTTTACAGACTCATTATAAGCTAGCAACACACTCTCTCTCCCTGACTCTCATATTGTATCGTAGCCTTCATAATGATACAAATGAAGAGCTTCTTCTCTAGCAACCTTCAGTAACCTATTTGTAAGTACCTATTTGTAAGTTAATTTCAATAAATTGTAATTTCTTTATTTTGTGAATATAAAGATTTTACTTCAGTAAAATTCATTTGTATTTTAATCACCACTCCTTATATCTATCTACAGCTTGTGATTTATGTCTTCCGCATCTTGTTATGTTTTGATATATATATATATATAATTTTTAGATTAATCACTAAAAATTAAAATTCAAAAATCTAGAAACCCTAATGTTTTTTTGATATTTTTTGCTTTCTTATATATGATGTATTGATGTTTATGATTTTCTTGTTGTGTTTTATTGTAATTATTTTTGTATTATCGAAATTTATTGTATTTTCTTTAGTGTTATTGATTTATTGTGTTATTTAATTGATGCAGATTACTTAATTAAATTGTTAAATGATCCAAATATTAATAACTAAAAAATATGTGTTTATCTGATTTTCTACTCGACTTTTAACCCAATTGTTTTGGACAGAATTCAGGTAGAAATAATCCACTTGATCGGGTAGGATATGTCAAAAAAAAAATCGCAATGTATCAAGTAGAAAGATGAAATACCATAATTCCTACCCGTAAAGTAAGCTGAACACCTTACTTGTATGTGGTTCGTTAATCATTACGGTATGTGGTTCGTTCGAAAAATGAAATACCATAATTCTTACCTGTAAAGTAAGGTGAACACCCTACTTGTATGTGGTTTGTTGGTCATTACAAGTAGGGTGAACAACCTACTAGTATGTGGTTCCAAAGACTTCCTTATACAGGAAATCATTGAAATTTGTCCCTCAAAAAAGAGAATATCTTTTGAGCATTTCAGTAGTCAGATCCTCTCAATTTGAATATTTGTCAGTTTTAATTAAATTCAATCCTCTATGTTAAATGCATTGAGCTTATTCGTGGATTTTATGCTGATCTGACACAAAGAATTAACGGTTAATGAACGACACACTTCACAAAATTTAGAACTAAGAGGATCTGAATTTTTATATGAGATTGTTTACACCCAAAAGAAGCAAACTTATATATGAAAGAGATACGACGGTCACAAAGAATTTTGTAAGAGATAGAGCAGTTAGAAAAATATGACTCTTAGAATCTTGAGAAACGAAAAAATGTGATATGATGAGTCGCCAATTAAAGACGGTTTAGCGCACATCCACGTATCTCATGGGACAAGATCATGATCACAATAGTGGCCAAAAAAATGAGTTGATGGTTGAACGTCATCTTTATAAATAGCAGATGCTAGGTTACTGAGAAAGGATCCACGATCAAACACACAAACACTTCGTAGAGCTAGCCTACCTTATACTTATTTCTTGCTTCTGAGCAATTTTACTTTTCTTGTAATCATCACTTCGGTGATGTTTTACTGCTTTCATTAACGTTTAATTCAGTACCCATTTTGTTTTCCAGATTTGGATTCAATTTACTTGTTATTTTTCATTCTCGATGTTCTCTTTTTAGTATAGTTCATTACGCTTTTATTTGAAAAATTATTTAAAGTCCTTGAACCATAAGGTATAGAAAAGAACTCAGAGGTAGTCTTACGCTTCATTACAATCACTTGAATAGTCACGATTTTAGAATTTCACGTCGGTTCGAGTAGATAAGATCATACGTCTTTGAATTTTAAGTTCACTCAAATTTTGACACACCCATAATCTAAAAATACACCAAATAGATACCCAATTGGAGATGCAATTGGCCCATCATTTGGTTGCACAATACAAGGTTTTTCGAAAAAAAAAGCATACAAAATATTGGATTGAGATATGCTGAAGCACGAGTTGGTTGGATAGAAATGAATTTCATTCATAAATGACAAATGGGTAATGGGTTACACCAGAGCCGTTGAGGAGCCAATCACGCTATTGCAACACTAAAGCAAAGAATTTTATCATAACAAACACCTCCACATACACAGAGAGACACAAAGAGAGGTTTTATTCACCCTTTTTTTTAAGTTTTTGAAGGATGGAGACTTTCATGACCAAAAAAAAAAAGGATGGAGACTTTCCAACCTCACGTTTATTGAACCCAGATGTGATTTTATGTTATGCTACAACTAACAGCGGTACTATGTAACGCACAAAAATTACAATTGCTCTCAACCATCACCCCTATTCAACCCTTCACCGTCACCCCCACCCCACCCCAACCCATCCTTATTGAAAAAATATCTATTAATTTTTTTTTAAAAAAATAATGAGTATAATACTTGGTAAAGATGGTGAAATATTCAAATGTGAAGTAGTTAACAAAAATAGTAGAAATGGTTACATATGGAAGAGATTAATGGGAAGGGATTACTTAAATAATTCAAAATTATGAGAACTTAGTATTGTAAGAGGGAAGATTTCCAATTAGTTTATTTTTTCTTCTTTTAAGCCTCTCTAGATTAACTCTGAAAGAACATTTCAATTACACAGAAACAACATTAATGAACAATAACGATTCAATTTCACCTGTTCTTTCAGACATATTTCACATCCTATACATAGCTTAATGGCTACAGTGGGGCATACTGAAAGTTATGATTTAGAACACTCACATAGTACTTATGTGACGGTAAATATAAGATTTTGCGAAATACCAGTATGTCACCAAAGCCACTGCACTAATTCCTGCAAGTAGCCAATAGAAATAATCAAAATGTGCCCGATTCAAGTTATCTGAAATCCAACCATCTTGACCATCTCCGCTCGTTGCTTTCTCGATGACAGAGATGAGAAAGCTACTCAAGAAGCTTCCTATGCCAAAGATACTGAGGTAGAGAGCAAGACCTATACTTTTCAATTCACTTGGAACCTGATCATAGAAAAACTCTTGCAGACCAACCATGGTGAATACATCAGCAATTCCAAACAATAAATACTGAGGAAGCAACCACCATACGCTCATCGGGACTGTTGCCTCAGGCATATCAATCAACCCATATTCTAGAGCAATTTGGAGGCGTTCCCTCTCAACTAGAGCTGCAATCACCATTGAAAGGATAGATAAAAACAACCCCATCCCAATTCTTTGAAGCATTGTTATGCCTGAGGGTTTCCCAGTCATAGCTCTTGCAATAGGAACTAAAATGCGGTCGTAGATGGGAATGAAGATAACAATGGACATGCTGATAAAAGATTGTAGTGAAGCAGCAGGTACTTCAAAGCCTGAACCGATGGATCTATCCATTGTAACTCCTTGCTTGGTATATAATGTTGACGACTGTGCAAAGACAATGGCATATGCTAAACATGTCACCCATATTGGAAACAGCCTCAGAATTGCCTTTGCCTCTTCAACTTCACTGATGCTACATACCTTCCCATCTTCCTTTGAACCATCCGGTGCAAGCAAAGCTTTGTTAAGAAACCTGTAACAAACTCAATGGTACAAGCAAGGCTATGTTAACAATCCTGTAACAAAACCCAAATCTGTGAAAACGAATAAGAACAAGATAGAAACCATTAATTCAATTGAAGACCAGAGGGTTTCACAATGAAACATTAAGCAAAAGTTTGTTCACCTCGCCTTGCAGTAACATTCCATCAATAATAGAAAAGACCAATATTTCTGTGAGAGCACTGGATGCCCCACAGAAACAATATCAATTCAGCTTGTTTCAAGAGACACTAGAAAGTGAAAATACAATCCAATGTGGAGGTGAAACTGGTGCAGAACATGAACTATCAACCCAATATATGGTATAAAGTGATTGCACGTCCGTCGGCTAAATTTCAAAAAAAATTATGGAGATGAAATAGGTCGAGGAAAATATTTTATTAAATCTACGCAGAAAGTTATTCACTTACTTGAACTGTTGAGAACCTTGGTGAGGAAGGGTTCCCCGAGCTTCCTCCTCAATGGATATGGCTGAAGTGGTAGTTTGCCAATTCCTAGCTGCTTTTACAAACACCTGGCCAATTCTAATAAATGGGCTTTTCTCGTCACCTTTGATGCTAAACCGATAAGTAGTAGTTCCAAGCAAGAATATGACCAGTGCAAGGCCCATAACAATGCAGGGGATTCCGAACCCAAGACCCCAACTGAGGTTGTCCTGAATGTAGTTTAAAATCCAAAGTGATATCATAGTACCTCCACATATACCAAAATACCACCAGTTGAAGAATGAACTTTTGGCTTTGCACTCTTCTGGATCTTGCTCATCAAACTGATCAGCTCCAAAAGCCTGAACACAAGGCTTGTGCCCCCCTTGTGCGGCTGCTACTAGATACAATGAGAAGAAAAAGAAGATAATTTGGAATTGAGTAGAACATGCCCTGATATTGGTGACAGATTGGCAGTCAGAAGAAGGTAGCACAGCTGAAAGGGTCAAGAATCCAAGTCCCTGTGATTCATGCCAATCCAGCCAACGAATCAATTTTATTTTCTTTTACAAGTAAATCCAACATATAAACTATTAACATTGAGTTGATGATAAATGTACAGAATTAGGAACTCTATGCTACAACACAGTCTAAATGGATCAAACAAGACATCTCCAACCAATCAGAAGGTTGATTTTAAATTAGATTCCAAAAGGTCAAAGATCCAATGTAATTGATCATACGAAATGAAAAGAAGTCCAAATGATTAAACAAATTTTCTATTGGATCCAAACCAAGGAAGTACAAATACGAATATGGATATGACGATACGGCACAATCTCAAAAAGTAGGATACGGGTATGGCTAGACTATGTATATATATATATATATATGTTATTACAACACTAGGGATATGAGGGATTAAGAAATAAAAAACATCCAAACTAAAATAATTTATGTTACTAATATAGAACTGCTCAGTGCTATTTTAAATTCAAGATTTTATGTAATTTTAAAACTGAAGACGTGTCACTCTTCAAGAATCCTTAACTTTTACTTAACATTTAATTGCAATAGATTTCATTGACTTTAACATAAGCCATAAAAACTCATTATTCAAGTCAACTAAATTGTAAAGGATTGACAAATCTTGTGATATATCTGATGCAAGTCCAAATGAACATCTTGGAATGAGGAATCCCAATATGTACCTTTGGACTACCAAGCAGAAATTGCCTATATTATAAGTCCTAAATTAAGGGTCTTTTTTTTTTTTTTTTTTTCTTTTTTGGGGATCAGAATCTAAAAGTTTATTTGATAGCACAATTCAGCACTTAAAATTGAATACAGTTGAAATAGTAAAAACAATGCTAGGGTTAGATAGATTAAGAGAAAGACAGAGGAAAGAAGAGAAGAGAATTAGAAAAATAGAAATTTAATCAGTTGTGTATGTCTAGGTTGTCCTACACTCTCTTTTTTATAACTGTCGTATTAGACTAATTACAATATTACTCTACATAAACTAATTTATGTCTAGCATATAAAATAAGAACTCTAACACTCCTCTTAAAGTTGGAGCATATGGATCAAAAATGCCGAACTTGGAACATAAATTACTAAAGGCGGGCCGAACCAACGGCTTAGTAAGAATATCACCCAGCTGATCGCCAGACTTGATATATGAAGTCATAATCTCCTTTCGCATCAAGAGATAATGAATGAAATGACAATCCACCTTGATGTATTTAATATGCTCATGAAATACCGGATTACTTGCAATAAAAATAGTTGCTTAATTGTCACAATCTATGAAGCACGAATACAATATGACGATACGGCAAAACCTAAAAAAATAGAATACAGAAATGGCAATGATACGTGCATGAAATATATTTTTTTTAAATTTTATTATTATATTGAATGTAATAATTATGATTTATAAAGTCAATCACACATCTGTCAAAAATCTATAATAATAATTAACCATTCTATCATTCAAAAATCATACATTCATAAATGTTTTTTTTTTGTTTTATAAATAAGAGCCCAAACATATTTGCTCTAGTGTCCTTATCCTTTTCAAAAAATTCAAGTAATACTCTGCCTTATGCTCGACGTATCCTAAAGTATCTGAAATTCAAATTTATTTTTTTTAATTCTAAGATACTTCCTAACTATATCGGATAAATATCCGGCCGTATCGATTGCATATCCGTATTGGTATCCGTATCCGAGAAGTATCTAATACCGATACTTTGACCATTTTGTAGTATCCGTGCTTCATAGGTCACAATGCATCTCATCTTCATAGGGTAAGACACATCAAGTCCCATATCACGGAGTAAAGAACGGACTCATAACATCTCATAAGCAATATGTGTCATAGCACAATGCTCAACCTTTGCAATAATCCGCGCATCCACATTCATTGCCTCTACCTCCACGTGGAACCACGACCACCACAACGACCACCACCACGACCATCATCCACTGGATGATTTTTTATATCCTTGGAAGCAGCCATAAGGATGGGAACAAGATCCAAATAGGAAAAAAAATTGCCGATAACACACGAAATTGTTCCAGAAACCTAGAAATCCATCACTCAACACAAAACAAACAACCAAGAGCCAAACAACAAACCTAGAGCAGCTAATGGACTACAGAACCAGAAAACAGGGAGCCGAGGGCCGAAACAGTTCCTGAACGGCAGCACTACACTGTACTGAACTCCTTAACAACAGCCAGAACACCAAAAACCATCCTAAACAAGCTGGGTCAAAAGTAAGACCCCTCAAATGTAGAACCAAGCAATAAGCAACAACCCAAGTCACAAAAAACCTCAAACAAAGACAGCATGCACAGCACTATGCACCAAAACCCAACCATCTAGGCAACAATATAGGATGAGAATGCAAAGAATCACCACAATCACACAAAATACTAGTACACAAATCAAAATCAGCCCAAAGGAATGCACAAATCGGCGTCGATATCAAAACTGCAACATGTACAGTGAAGTCAAAAACACTAGTAGACCTCACACACATATAGAGGCCAAATTCAAGTAACAAAAACACAAACCCAGACCATGCGTATACTATTCAGGCCCTGAACAGTGTAGTCAACACCTCCGTGCAGCAAAAAAACTGTCCAAAAACTCCAAAAACAACTAGGCAACCCGTGGGTCTCTTCCCAAAACCTAATCCGCACCAATAATACCAGATCCAAGCAGTCAATCCGAGAAAATTGTGCATATAAAAAAGATCCAAAAATTTGTCCCCTTTTTTTTTGGCCAAAAATACTTCAAAAAATAGAAAACCTACTCAGATGTCTTCAAAAAAATAAACAAAAATAACCATGATGATCCCCATGAGAAATTGATTAGGGTGGCGTGTTCCCTAGCCAGAACTTGTTGACGTCAATCACTGACAACGTCAGCAATAATCAACACTCCAGATTTTTGTAGACGATGTTCTCGATATTATCTAGTCTTGAACTAGTGCTCTGATACCAAGTTGAAATAGTAAAAGCAATAAATGGCAAGGATCAAAATTTTGTTTCGATATATTATTTCAGTCATCTAGGAAACGAAAACGTTTCGACCCATTTTTAAAACATAATAAAAAAATTTAAGAATTATTTTTCTAAAACATTGGTTAAAATATATCAAAATATCTTAAAATACCTAGATACATTCCAAAACAATCGTGCAAATGCATTGAAATATTATAAAAAATTTCAAAATATTATGGAATACCTCGAAATATTATAATTTCAATCCCATTACTGATTCGTTTCAGTCTCCTTAGAAATGAAAACGTTTTGGATGTTTCGCTCGTTTTGAAACGATAGTTTGATCATTGATAATAGGGTTGCTAGATAGATTAAGAGAAAGATAGAGGAAAGTGGAGAAGAGAATTAGAGAAATAGGAAAATAATCAGTTGTGTAGGCTTAGGTTACCCTACACTCTTATTTATAATTGTGTAGTATTAGAGTAATTACAATATTACCCTAAACAAACTAACTTATGTCCAATATATAACATAATAACTCTAACAAATACATTGTACACTTTCTCAAAGAAAGGTTTCTTTTGGTTAAACTAGTGCTCGAAACATGAAAAAGTGATCATGTCGCGAGATAGGAACACAGATACCCCTTAAAACTTACAGTCAATTAACCAATTTTCTGTCATGGACAAATAGTCAAATTGAATAGGAGTGTTCCCAATAAAACTTGATGAAATTTCTGACAAAATCTTGGTTCTGTTCATAAATCTTTGATTTGTGGGTGGTTTTTATGAATCATATGATGTTTTGGTTTTTGATACATGCTTCACACACTTATTTTGTATTGGCTTCAGTAATGATTTTGCACCACCATTGATAGGAATCGGATTATATTTCGTTATAGTAGGCGCAAACGTAGGGATTAGAATTTATTTGTCATTTCGCTTTTTAGAGATTTAGTTCAGGGTCGGCTCAACCTATAGGACACTAAAGCCATTGCCTAGGGCCCCCATACTAGAAGAAAATTTTGGGGCCCCAAAATAAAATTTTATACAATGGTATGCAATCTACATGTTGGGATATAATTTAAATACTCCAATACATTTTAACAATTGAATTAACAGGGAGTGCTAACTTTAAATAAAATACATTATTTATCCAATGTATTTAGACCTTCAATCAAGTACAAATAGTATTATCGTAAAATTTTTAGAAACTCTTTCAAAAAAAATTAGGTGCCTACAGTTCAACCTATTTTTTTTTATCTCACCCAATGTTTATATTATATGTATTATCACTTTGCAGTCTTACTATTAAAATCAATTGTCTATCGTACAATACATATTAATAATGATTTTATATTTCTACAACTTAAATTTAAGGCTATTTTTTGATCAATTTGTTTATAATGAAAAGAATAACTATAAAATAGAATGAGTAGAAGTAATACACTATTTGAAACTAATCAATCATTGTTGTCTTACTAGTTAAACTAATTTTTAATTATGTTTTTCTTTATTTTCAACAAATAGCATGTATCATTTGCATTTGATCTCCAAATTTGACTACGGTTAACATAATTTTTATTTGCAAAATTTAAACTTAAATTTGTATGTTGTATCTCAAAAAAAAAAAAAGACAAAACAAATAATTTTTAAATAAACATTTTAATATTTTGATAACTATTTAATACTAATATTATTATTGAATAAACATTACTAGGGCCCCACATAATATTTATGCCTAGAGCCCCTAGTTGGGTTGGGCCGCCCCTGGTTTAGTTATCATTCTAACTATTTATTTATTTTAGGGTTTGTGGTCCCCTTATATATAAAAAAGATATGGTATTTGTTGTTGACATACTTTGATTATTATTGAATATTGATATTACTTCCTTCCCAAGTTCTTTCTCTTTTCTCATCCCTTTCTTCTTATCTTTTTATTCCTAGTTTTTTCTTCCTAATCTACATCAATTTGGTATTAGAGACCAACTTCAATTCGTGCAAATC